TGGCAGGCCCAGGGATCAAACCCCCTGACCCCTGCATCTTCTTGAGCAGTATTATATTAGTGTGTTGTAATTTTCACTGTAGAAATCATTCACTTCAATGGTTCAATTCATTCTTAGGTGCTTGATTTTATTTTGAAATCTATTGTGAATGGGATTTCTTTCCTGATCTTTCTTTCAGATGTTGCTATCATTGTAAAGAATAGCTACTGAATTTTATATCCTGTGCTCTTACCAGATTTAAAAATTATTAAAATATTTTATGGAATTTTTAGGTCTTTTATATATCAAATCATGTTGCCTCAAGGAGGATAATTTGATTTTAATATTTTCTATTTGTATACTCTTTAAAAGAGAATTTTAAAACAGTAAAAAAAAATCAAAAACAATAGAGAATTTCACTAAACAAAATGATAAGATTTCAACAATGGTTGTTATATTGCATATTATTGTCTTCAAATTAGTTTTTGAGGTTACTCTTTATTTCTTTCTCTTACCTTATTTTTCTGGATAAGACTTCCAATTCTATGTTGAATAATATTGAAAGTATTTTGATCTTGTTTGTGATCTTGCTAAAAATTATGTCTGTGATAGGGTAAACCGAACTGCATATATTGCAGGTTAATAATGAGCTTCTCTTCTGGAGGGCTAACAACCTAAGTTAGCAGATCAAAATTGGAGAAAAGAAAGGGCTGCATGGTTAGCCAACATTTTGGCCCTAGCCTTTCCAGGTGAGTGAAGACTCGGAACATAGGAGAATCTGTACTGTAGCAACATGTAACTCAGTTGTGTTCCAAATTTTCTGATCAAGAAGATGACGGAGCCACAGAGAAATGTGTTCCATGATCTAAAGTGAGCCTGGGGAGAGTCACATGGAGAGAAAAAACATTTTCTCAAGCTTTCACAGAGAGCAAATTGGTCAAGCAATGGCCGTGACTCATCCTCATGTCTGACACTGATAAAAGGATGTACAAAGGGTAGTACAGGGCTACAGGATAAATCCCAAGAGTACTTGGCTGACCTTATCAGATACAAAAGTTACATTTCTCGTTATATAGGTCTTGCTATATCTTGGTCTTAACCATCCAGCAGAAAAGTATAACAACGAGGTATGTAAAGCAAATCCATATTAATACAATGAGCTGTAAAAGGCTCAAGTGAATAACTTCTGAGGATAACCCACTAATATTATAGACTGCTAGACAGTGTTAGATTGTTTAGTTGAATTCAAACATCTATAGTATTTAGATGCCAATGGAATATTCACCTCTGACAGGAAAAAAAAAGAAAAGAAAGGATGCAAAGGAATGATCATTTTATATTTATATATACAAAATAGTTGAGGCCAGGGGGGTGGCTCAGTAGAATAAGCACTTGCCTGGCAAGCACAAGGGCCTGAGTTCAATCCCCAGTTCCACAAAAAAAAATTGGTTAAGATAGGTTTACAGCTACTTTCGCTTAATTCAATGAGAAGAAACAGGTGTACTAACAGTGTTTGGATGGAATATCCTTTCTGCTTCTTGTGCTATGGATAACCATTAAGAAGATAACAATGTACAATGTATTGATTATCAAAACTGTCCTATTAATCAGCTGTGAAACTGTTTCATTTATATTTATTTCTCAATAAAAAATAAAATTTAAATAAATAAATAAAAATAAAAATCATGTCTGCTTTTACCCATTTTTATTTATACAAAACTTGCATTTCTCCTTTGTAGTCCTTGCTGTGCTAAATGAAATTCTTTATGTAACAAATTTCTTTGGATTTTTTTAAAACCATCAAGTACTTATAATATTTGGACTGGCAACAAGTATGAGAAGATCCTTTAAAGGCTTCTCCATATATAACTTCTCTAACAGCAATGGCACATCCATCTCTGACAAAACAAAACTTAAAAAGGGGATATAAATAAAGGATCATTTTGTAGTGAAATATATGTATATATATGCACATATATAATAGTTATGATAATATACAGCTACTTTCTCTTAGTTCAATGAGAAGAAAGGCTTGTACTAATATTGCTTAGACAAGATATCATGTGTGAATCTTGTCCTCTGAATATGCAATGTATTAATTATTGTAACTGTCCTACTAACCTATTTTGAAACTGTTTCATTGCTATTTTATCTTTTTTCTCATTAAAATGAATAAAAAATTTTAAAATAATGTTTTACTTCATCTACTGTAATGACTATATGGTTTTTAGTTTCATTCTATTAATGTATTATGCTTATGATTTGAGTAAGGTGAACCACCTTTGCATTAGTAGGATAACTCATTTGCCTGTGATATATAATCTCAGAAATATAATGTATATAGCTTCTTAGTATAGCCATTTTATACAACAGCTTATAGTTAAATTGGATGTACATATATCCTACAGTAGAGTTATCAGTGGAGATAGAGTTTGCAGTGTTTTACATACATACTGGAGAATATGTATAAGTATATGCATATATTCATATACAGTAGTACTTTGGTTCTCAAACTGGATTCTTTCCACTATCCTGGTCATAAACCAACTTGGAGAAGAGCTCAATTAAATTCAACAGTTAGGTTCAATGTTGACCTTTTGGGGAAGTTTAATTCAGGTCTAATCCAGTTCATTTTGCACTAGAATCATGGTGAGAATTGAGCTTGTGAAGCAAGATACTACTTTATATATGAATGTTGATGTTTCTGATGCAAAAATATTGAAAGCTAAAAAAATAGAAAAAGAAAAATTAAAGGAGCATAGCAACAGAGCAAGTAAGTTTGAGCTACAGGCACAGTAAAATACAAAAATATATACATAAATCTTGAACAACAGTAGATTACAAAAACTGTAACAATAAATGCAGCTTTATTCATTTATACACACTTCAAAGGCAGGCAAATTGAAGGACGGCTACAAAAACACTAAAATTGTAATGAAAGTAAGCAAATGTTGAAAACAGTGAAGATATTACAGGTGTGCACCACCATACCCAGCTTTAAAAAATTGTTTTAAAAGAATACAAAATAGTAAAAAAAATACAGAATTTCACTAAACAAAATGATAGAAATTCAACAATGGTTATTATATTACATATTGTTGTCCTCAAGTTAGTTGTTCAAGCTAGGTGTGGCAGCACACACCTGCAATCCCAGCACTCAGAAGGTTGAGGCAGGAGGATAGTTGTTAGTTCCAGGTCAGCCTGGTCTACAAAGTAAGCTCAAGGCCAGATTGAACTGCAGA